AATTAACCCGAAATTGACTCCATGGTGTAGTAAAAAACAAAGAATCCACAAAAATTACTGATCTTCTTAAATATCCGTGCATAAAAAACAACAACCCCAAAACAACGGTAGAGGTTAACATTTCGTACAATGGTAAAAAACAACCCACCACGGCAGTACTGACACTCATTAATCGCTTGATTAATGGTGAGCGAAAGTTGTAACCAGCCACAATGGCTGAAATACCCAGACTTATACTCAGGTGGGAGTACTGCTGGACGCAGGTGGGTGGGGAGGTGGAGACTGTAGTGTGATCAGGGAGGGGTGGAGGGGAGATGATGGACACGGTCAACGATGTGGTCAGATGCCCACATGTAATCAAAAAACGACGTCTTCTATGCCATCCAGAAAACTCAATTTCTCAGAATTAACGTAATTCCTTATGTCTGAAAGATGTACGTACAAGAACGAATCTAGTGAAAATGTACAACATTTAAAACTAAAATTGCCTATGTTAAATATATTGTACAAAATACTTCATCCAAGAACACTAAAACGGAATGATCAACCGAAGAACAAACAAGAAAAATTACCTGTTGATGAAAGTTTTCTTGCAAGGAATATTTTACATGCGAAAACTGTACCACATCTTTATCAAAATTAGCATAAAGGTAAACTTTCTGCATGGCAATGCATACGTAGTCAGGTATCTGACCCCCAGCTAGGGTCATGTGACCAGCATCCAATCAAAATGCTTTGTCGCCTCTGCACTCCATATATGGTAGTGGAGGTATTGGTCTTTGTCCTATGTATGGCAACGTCCCAGATAAAAAAGTTCGTCAGAATTCAGGGCATATGTGTTTCCCAATTACCCATGGTGCCAACAAACTGGTGTCTATTCCCTACCAAACTACAAAGTCGTTTTCATTCACTTAGTTCCGGGATGACCTTTTGACCTCATACCATGCCCGCTTCCAGCAGAGGCCAAAGAAGACCTTCTCGATGTCATCGTACCAGTGCAAGAATATGATCGCGAGTCCATACGTAAAAGCGGGGTTAAAGTTTGTCTCGCCGTTACCAACGTTTTGGAATGTTCCACAATTTACTCTGCAAGACATTACAAGATGGCGTCTCTCAGACAATTTATGAAGTTTCTGCAACTCAAACCTTTCACAAGTATTTGCCGACAAGGGCTAATGTATAAAATTCGCTTTTCATTAATATAAAGAAACATGACATAAGTTTGACGAGTTGCAACGAATTCTTCTAGATCTGACGTGAACATGCTGTTTATCTTGCACACAGAATAAATGTAAGGTAACCTACCTTGATCCTTGCCAATCCCACAATATCCTTGTTCGTCAGTGAAAAGATCCTTATGTAATCCATATATATGTCCTCGAAGTGCATAACGCTGATGAGATGCACGATTCAGTGCGCACACATTCAACACAATGCGATGCAAAACAAATTTGAACTTATAGAGGATTTTTAATTGTTCAACAACTTCAGAATATTATATGTGTGTCGTATCTGTCCACATTTGAGCTGCCCCTAATACTTGAGTTAAAATATGTACATACCTATATGACTAATTCAGGAAATATCAAAGGATATATCCTGGCATAACTCACTGTTCGCAACAAGGCTTCAACAGATTTAAAATGTCACTACTGAAACACAATATGTCCTCAAGTCTTCCGAACGATTTCTCGAGTTAGAATTGCTTTCGTTCGTCGGTTTTACAAGGTAATTAATGTTTTTCATTCTAACGCTATATAGAAAGATTTAATATCGCACCTAAAATAAAATAAACCATTTAAACGTCCGCATTATTGATCTGTCTGGACTGACACCAGAATCTGGACAATTAAAAATATGGATATGTCACAAAGGGTAATAACAAACAGACTTCGATACTTCAAGACCACGGTACTGGGCCGGTCCTCTATGACCCAGTGCCATACAGCCCAGTATACCCCAGTCTATGTCTCATTCTATCATGTCATGTGGCTCTGCAATCTCTATATTGACCAAAGGATCTAAATAGCCGAATCTCAAGGCCCTGTGTAAAACAATCTCATGGCCTGTAAAACCCAATCTCATGTTCTTGTAAAGTACAGCCTTATTTGCTTGTACTGTCCAGTTATGTGGCTCTGCATTGCCCAATCCTATGTCCCTGTAGAACTCAATCCTATAATATTGTATAATCTGATCTCATGACCTGGTATAGCCTAATCTCATGCCCCGGTGTAGCACAACCTCATGACCCTGTATAAACCCAATATCGCGTCCCTGTATAACTAATGGGAAAAACCCTGTATTGCCCTTGTATGACCGAATTTCAAAAGCGTGCATAGCAAAATATCATTACCTTGTATTGCCCAACCTCATGATCAAATATAATCTAATACCACTGCCCTCCATAACCTAATATCACCGCCCTGTATTGCCCAATCTCATGACATTATTTAGCCTAATATCATTGGCCTTCATAACCTAATATCATCACCTTGCATTGCCAAATCTCAAGATCACATATAATCTGATATCATTACCCTGTATTGAACAACCTCATGATCACATATAGCCAAATATTATTGGCCTTCATAACTTAATATCACCACCTTGTATTGAGCAACCTCATGATCAAATATAATCTAATACCACTGCCCTCCATAACCTAATATCACCACCCTGTATTGCCCAATCTCATGATCAAATACACCCTAATATCATTGGCCTTCATAACCTAATATCATCACCTTGCAGTGCCAAATCTCAAGATCACATATAATCTGATATCATTACCCTGTATTGAACAACCTCATGATCAAATACAACCTAATATCATTGGCCTTCATAACCTAATATCATCACCTTGCAGTGCCCAATCTCAAATTCACATATAATCTAATATCATTACCTTGTATTGAACAACCTCATGATCACATATAGCCAAATATTATTGGCCTTCATAGCTTAATATCACCACCCTGCATTGCCCAATGTCATGATCACATATAGCCTAATATTATTGGCCTTCATAGCTTAATATCACCATCCTGTATTGCCCAAAGTCATGATCACATATAGCCTAATATTATTGGCCTTCATAGCTTAATATCACCACTCTGTATTGCCCAATGTCATGATCACATATAGCCTAATATTATTGGCCTTCATAGCTTAATATCACCATCCTGTATTGCCCAAAGTCATGATCACATATAGCCTAATATTATTGGCCTTCATAGCTTAATATCACCACTCTGTATTGCCCAATGTCATGATCACATATAGCCTAATATTATTGGCCTTCATAGCTTAATATCACCATCCTGTATTGCCCAATCTCATGATCACATATAGCCTAATATTATTGGCCTTCATAGCTTAATATCACCATCCTGTATTGCCCAATCTCATGATCACATATAGCCTAATATTATTGGCCTTCATAGCTTAATATCACCATCCTGTATTGCCCATCCTCATGATCACATATAGCCAAATATTATTGGCCTTCATAGCTTAATATCACCGCCCTGTATTGCCCAATCTCATGATCACATATAGCCTAATATTATTGGCCTTCATAGCTTAATATCACCATCCTGTATTGCCCAATCTCATGATCACATATAGCCTAATATTATTGGCCTTCAAAGCTTAATATCACCATCCTGTATTGCCCATCCTCATGATCACATATAGCCAAATATTATTGGCCTTCATAGCTTAATATCACCATCCTGTATTGCCCAATCTCATGATCACATATAACCTAATATTATTGGCCTTCATAGCTTAATATCACCACGTTGTATTGAACAATCCCATGATCAAATATAACTAAATATCATTGCCCACCATTATCTAATCTCATCACCTCACCACATATCAAATGTGTTGCCCAATCTCAAGATCACATATAATTATCATTATCTTGTATTGAACAACCCCATGATCAAATATAACCAAATATCATTGGCCTCCATAACCTAATCTCATCACCCTGTATGGCCCAATCCCATGATCATGTATAACCTGATTCGAGCTAATGTCGAGCATTAGTCCCAACTAATGAATATGAATAGCCTCATTACAGGACCCAGCCTAGCCCAATTGCATGAACTATATGTCTTCCCCCTATGACTATATGTCTTTCCTCTATGACCTTATATATCCCCACCCAGTATAGCCCTACCTTATGTCTGTATAGCATCACTCCCTGTAGTAAACAATATCAACTACACATCATCCATCAATGATCTCTTCAACTTTCCAGCGACAAGTGAAGGACCAAATATAGCCAGTCATTCCTCAATGGCCACCACTGAACCCTTTGGTAACCACAGGCAGAAGACGAAAGCACCCAGGGCGGAACGTCTATTTCCAGCACGTCATTATACAGGAGTCTGGTGGCACTCTGGGATGAACAGGCGAGTCGATGTGTCTATCATTAGACACGTGTATGACCCTTCCCCTGTGGTCATTGATCTGTCCAGCTACGGGGCCCGCGTACTACAAATAACACCATCAACGAGCAGGTGTGTCCATGCTCATGATTTACTCGCCGGGGAATGGCACCCGGTGTCAAAGGACAATCCTGTCGACTCAGCTCGTCACTTGCAGTGTAGATCTGTGACAATACTGTGTCGATAACTTAAGGGAAAGTAAAAGAATCTGAATACGGAGGTATTAACACTAACGCATAATGGAAGAAAGTTGATACACCAGTTCCGATTATATAGCCTTGAGGATTAACGTGAGAAAACAAAAAATATTTATTGCTGACTGCGCATAAAACTGCTTTAGCTGTTACGACAATTGACTTCAACACTCCGATGTGTTAAAGAACTGACATTTCCCACATTTTCGCATATTACGAAAAAGTATTTATAAGAAATTAGTAAACATACGTTTCAAACGGTAACAGGTCAACCAATTAGTAGACAACACCAGTAAGTGTCAGCAGCATTCGGGTCAAGATGACATAGAATACATGAAATCACTACCTGTATCTTCGTCGACGATGTTGTTGCGTTGTCAGTTGCCTCTGGAGACGTTTCCTCCGTCGTGGCCATGGTAAGAAGGCGAAACAGAAAGTAGTTTCAGTAAGCAGGTACCCTGTTACCCTACTGATGACATCAGTACCCACTTAACACAGGTATTTCTGAGCCTAGCAGCGCTTAACAGACTTCACGAAAACTGCATCCATACATACAAAAAAGGGATACGATCATTTGGACTGGATGTCGAGACATTGAATTACGACAAAATCTATAATGCTTAAAACAAAAAATGAGTTACCATTTAAGTTATATAGATAATTTTTCAGCTATATAGTGAAATTTATTGAACAAAATGATACCTGTTTGCGGTTTAAAAATATCAAAGGTCTCCGAAAATAACAAAAATGGTGTCCACTTACTAAGTAAAGGCATTGAAAATTCGAGTTAAGATCGCCAGCTGAAGCTTCACTAGTTCCCATAGGAATCCTCAACTTTATCGCAGAGACACTTCGCTAATTGTCTTGATTAATTAACATTCTAGTTAATTGTTTATAGCGATAACCCTAGCGCCCAGTAAAGTCCGCCATGAAAGACAGGTAGGTACCGACTGTCCATTCTTATAGCGTTACAGCTGATGTACACACACACAAACAACAAACCACTCACGTGTCGAGTAATGCGGAAATTTCCTCGTTGTCACACGCTCGCCGATACTACTACAAAACTATTTTAAGAACAAGAAAATTCATTAAAACACCTTTCCTGTACGATAGCCCCGCCCCCCGCGCCGCAGCCAGCCAACCAGCGAGCGACCGCGAGGTTTTCTTCCTTCGAGCTGTCGTTATTTCAGTCCGCACGTGACAACGTGGGTGTAGATTCTGCCGATTGCGGACGTTTGAATGAAGCCACGTGTTTGGCTAGTTTCTACCTATACATGATACACTGTTTCTGTACAGCTGAGCGTGGGTGTAGGGCAATTCCATGACACTGAGAGAGAAGAGGAGGGGTAACCCATGCTATGTTGACGGTGTACAAACGTTCACAGCAGCCTTGTGCCTGATGCACATCGTTGCAAAGCTGTAAGTTCACAACTACTATATCACGCTCGTAGTACACTTAAGGGTTAAATTCATCGAATGGAACGGGACATGATAGGTTTCGCAATTGCGAAATATAGCAACTTTAATATTTGGGGAATGGGCGGGTTGCGGGGGTTTGCAACCTCAACCCCCTTGTCACAATTCAAATTTCACACACTCAGCCCAGTAACTTTACGACAGACCATTAACCTAAGGCACCCTTATTTTCTGAGGGGGTGGTAAGTTACGAAAATCGAGATTCAGTCATGATCTGTAGGCAGTCGAAGTTTCTGAATTATTGGCAGGACGCATTCAGGTAAATAGCTTTTTCTTTAATCTTCAGTTACAGAATGTGCCCGCCACAGAGCTTGAAAATTGCTGAGTACGGCGTAAAACTGAACTACAGAATGTGCCTAGGGAAGAGTTGGTCTTCAGCGACCCATACTTGTCTTACGAGGCGACAGATGGGATCTGACAAGGCTCTCTGACTTGATTGATGCAGTCATCGTATCCCAGTTACGTAGATCGATGCTCATGATGACAATCACTGGATTGTCTGGTCCAGACTAGATAGTAAATTCGTCATGTGTCGTTTAAGTGCATTCATGTAAATATATTTTCCTTTATAAGTTCATAAACGATTTGACGAAGTGTTCTGATTTGCAGGAAAATACACACATTAATTGTAATACATCTGTTTACTTATATTGAGCAAAACTGTCAGAATGGCAACGTTTGGACACATTTAGTGATTCTTGAGGTCAGCAAAACAGAAATTCCGAAATGTGTTAAAAATACTTATATAAATTTTGATGCATGTACATTGTGCAAATATTGTGAGAATGACAACAGTGGTCTGGTTACATATAGTGATTCTTGTATTTGGAAGGTTTGGAGGTCAGATGATACACAGTATTTCAATGTAAGACCTCTCGTAAAACCGTTCGTGACAAAATGATGACAATTTCCTCTTTTGGGCATTGGATGGATCGGCGTATGTATATAACTACAACCAGGTTTGGTTGAGCCAGGGAGGAAGATGGATCGATGTCATGAAACAGAAACCAAAGAAACTGTGGTACAAACGTGTGTGGGTTGACTTGGTAACGTCGGGCTTGAACTGTTTGGGATAAGGCGTTTGTTAAGGCGGGACGTGTGTGTACCGAGGTTACTGGGTTAGAGGTAGTAATTGTGATGAATGGATGCTATAAGTACACCACAGAACACGCTGAAGATGGTTAACATACGCTCTCAAGCATAGCACTGTATTAGTGGGCGGAGTGAGATGTCAACAGGTTGTGGGCAGGGGAAGGGGGTCATTGAGAGGCGGGAGGGCCCATTAAACTTTAAGGACATGGGTGGGGGATGAGACTCTAGGACAAAACGTGGGCACACCAAAACCATGTCAAGACACGAGAGTAGGTGTGCCGTATAGTACGCTGCATTGCACAGCCAAATTACGAAACACCAGTGCTAATAGAACAAGACAACGATGACATCGTTTCCTAACAGTCTTGTAATCTGTTACTTCTTCTGGACAAGTCACACACACACACACACACACACACACACACACACACACACACACACACACACACACACACACACACACACACACACACACACACACACACACACACACACACACACACTCTCTCTCTCTCTCTCTCTCTCTCTCTCTCTCTCTCACTCACACCACTCACACACACACACCCACTCACACACACACTCACTCACTCACACACACAATATAAACATGGTTACCTACAATACACACAGTGATTGTTTCTGAAAATTCTCTTATGTCAAGTAACACACAGATAGCAATACAGTGAACGTTATATTCTTTGCTTTGCGTGTATGTTTATTGATCAACAACAATATTTCAGCTATATGACAACCTCCTGTAAATAATAGAATCTGGACCAGATATTCCAGTGACCGGCGTTTTCAAACCCGTCGGTACGAGCATACCCCGTCAGACAAGTAACCAAGCCCTACCATCCAATTCATTAAGTCATCCAGTGTAGATAGCTGCAGGATTTCAGAAAATATTCCAGATAAATATGGAATAGATTTCCCCCTATAATTATTTTTTACTAATATTAGATATTTAAATGTATGAAAATGGATACACTGAAACTGAGTCATGTGTCAGGCTATATAAGTAAGGACAATTTTAGAAATGCCCAAGAACGAAAAGTAATCAGAAACACCTCACAAGTAAATTAACCAATATCCAGTGTCCATTCCCAAACTCGTTAACAGTGAAATAGGCCAACGTTTCAATATCACACTGTAAACACATTATGCCAGCTGCTTGCAGTAAATTTCAGCTTAGCAGAACCACATCAGGTCAGTAACAGAAAGGTGAATTCCCTATCCATCAAGATAAGATTTAACAATAACGTCTCAATAAGTAACATCACGTTAGACAGCAACAATAAACATAACATCACGTTAGACAGCAACAATAAACATAACATCACGTTAGACAGCAACAATAAACATAATATCACTTTAGACAACAACAACAATAATAAACATAACATCACGTTAGACAACAACAATAAACACAACATCACGTTAGACAACAACAATAAACATATCATCACGTTAGACAGCAACAATAAACGTAATATCACGTTAGACAGCAACAATAAACGTAATATCACTTTAGACAGCAACAATAAACGTAATATCACTTTAGACAACAACAATAAACATAACATCACGTTAGACAACAACAATAAACACAACATCACGTTAGACAACAACAATAAACGTAACATTACGTTAGACAATAATAAACATAACATCACGTTAGACAACAACAATAAACATAACATCACGTTAGACAATAATAAACATAACATCACGTTAGACAGCAACAATAAACGTAATATCACTTTAGACAGCAACAATAAACGTAATATCACTTTAGACAACAACAATAAACATAACATCACGTTAGACAACAACAATAAACACAACATCACGTTAGACAATAATAAACATAACATCACGTTAGACAACAACAATAAACATATCATCACGTTAGACAGCAACAATAAACGTAATATCACTTTAGACAACAACAATAAACATAACATCACGTTAGACAACAACAATAAACATAACATCACGTTAGACAACAACAATAAACATAACATCACGTTAGACAATAATAAACATAACATCACGTTAGACAACAACAATAAACATATCATCACGTTAGACAGCAACAATAAACGTAATATCACTTTAGACAACAATAATAAACATAACATCACGTTAGACAACAACAATAAACATAACATCACGTTAGACAACAACAATAAACATAACATCACGTTAGACAGCAACAATAAACGTAACATCACGTTAGACAACAACAATAAACGTAACATCACGTTAGACAGCAACAATAAAATAAACGACAACAACAATAAACGTAATATCACGTTAGACAACAACAATAAACATAACATCACGTTAGACAACAACAATAAACACAACATCACGTTAGACAACAACAATAAACATATCATCACGTTAGACAGCAACAATAAACATAACATCACGTTAGACAGCAACAATAAACGTAATATCACTTTAGACAACAATAATAAACATAACATCACGTTAGACAACAACAATAAACACAACATCACGTTAGACAACAACAATAAACATATCATCACGTTAGACAGCAACAATAAACGTAATATCACGTTAGACAGCAACAATAAACATAACATCACGTTATATAGCAACAATCAACATAACATCACGTTAGACAGCAACAATAAACACAACATCACGTTAGACAGCAACAATAAACGTAACATTACGTTAGACAATAATAAACATAACATCACGTTAGACAACAACAATAAACATAACATCACGTTAGACAGCAATAAACATAACATCACGTTAGACAGCAATAAACATAACATCACGTTAGACAGCAACAATAAACACAGCATCACGTTAGATAGCAACAATAAACAAAACATCACGTTAGATAGCAACAATAAACACAGCATCACGTTAGATAGCAACAATAAACAAAACATCACGTTAGACAGCAACAATAAACGTAACATCACGTTAGATAGCAGCAATAAAATAACAATAATTCAGACAGCAACAGCAAACATAGAAAACACAAACATAACACCACAAACGACTGCAACAACAAATAAAACACCACGTGAGACTGCAACAACATCTATAACACCAGAATACGCTGGTGTCAGGCTATATAAGTAAGCACACAAGTAAACAAAGCCCAAGAATGAAAATTACTTAGAAACACCTCACAAGTAAATTAACCCATATCCAGTATCCAAATCAAATATAACATCCCTTTAGACAGCAATAATATACATCAACAGCAACAACATATATATGATCACGTCAGACAGCAACAACAAACATCAAGTCAAACCAACAAGCAACACGAAACAGAGCAACAATATACATAAGCATGACATCAGACAGTAGCAATAAATATAATATCAC